AGAGCACAAGCGCACTGCTCTAACCATTAGGCCAACACTTCCCAATTTGGTGTTTAGTTGGTAGACATATCGTAGATAAACCTTGCACATGGGAAATGAAGCAGTGAACATTGGAGAAGCACAATAGGGAATTTAGTCACTTTGGCAAACTACCCTAACAGTGTAGCTGCCAATGATACGAGTGTTCCAAGAGACTCCTGCAGACATGGCAAAACTTAACATCCATCCAGCACTCAGAAGACAAGGTGCTCTAATAATTTGATCTGATTTATCAAGCCGCAATTTCCAGATTCACAGAGTTATAAGGAGGAGCGGAATTCATAAATATTACAAAATAATTATTTAGTAATATTTATGAATTCTGCTACTTAAAACTCCATTTTAAAATAGGATTTGAAAATATATTTTCAAATTGCATTGCTTAATAATAGATCATTACATGCAATTTACAATTTGTTATTAATAATTAAATTTAAAATGTGCAATTAAAAAAGCACTTATCAAATGGATGTCTAATTGAATGGTTTAAATGTTTTATTTCAAATGGTGGCATTTCTTTTTCAGTGACTCTTCTGGTCCTCCATACATTTCTGTGTTTAATAAACGCCCATAGGATAAGCTGTATTTCAAGTAATTATGTTTAGTCTCATACTGAAGGTTGATGTAAAAGTAGTGCTTCCAAATCTAGGAAAAATATTTGATAATGAAGGTTAAAAAAGTCAGTTTGTCATATTTAAAGCAATACAGCTGTAATCAAACATGAGAAGAAGGTTAAACAGGAACACAAAACTAAGAATTATTTTACTAAATCAAAGTCTCTAAAGCCTTCGTCCTCAGGTCTATAATGCTTTAGGAAACTAGGAAACATTCTGAATTCTGAGTTGCAATTTAAAAAGAAATGTGTAAATATATGCAACTTTCCATCAATTTAAAAATATTTATGAACCTGGAAGGGAGGTAGATAAAATTGTTTACAAACTTAATTGAGAAATGATTTTAGCTTGAAAAAGGAAAGTCTTCAAAAAGTTTAAAATCATAAGCATAATTATATAGTAATAAACCAAGTTTGACAAATACCTATTTCTCACATTCCAAAAACTCCTTGGACCAGTGAACTAAAACTGCCTCTTTCCTGCCGTTGTAACAGAGGTGGGCGGAGGAGAAGCTCACAAACATGTAGATGTCTTAAGCACTCTCTTCCTCAGAATGTATCTACTACAGCATTTTATTCTAAGTGCATATTCAAGTGTAACTCAGTTCATATAGCACAGCAGCTCTGTAATCATTTGATCTTATGATGATTATTTTCCAATGCTGATGAGGAAGCTAAGCTTCTTCGAGTTCCAATTCACTGGCAGGAAGTAACATGTTTCCTTAGCAGTGACAATAAATAATACTTCTAAATGATGATCACTCCTTCAAGCAGCTCTTCGGCCGACGTAGCTATTCATCCCTCACCCACTCACCTGCCCTGCAGCGTGCGAGCATAACTTGGCCAGCTTTCTTTGTATTCCAGTTCCTTCTCCTCCTTCCCTGAGCTGGATTGGCGGCCCTGCCAAAATCGCCTCTTCCATGCAGGGTTACGATCTGTATTCAGTGGACGATATCTGGCAGAGATTTAACATGTGGTTTGTACACAGAAACTCAATATTTGTGACTATAAATATGCATTTCCTTCAATTTGTGATGTTATATGCCAAACAATTTTCCTTAATTAGAAATGTTTTACAGCCTTCTCTCAGCATGTAAGTGTCTCCCAAGGAAGTAAAAAATTTATGAATATATGTTTGTTACTATCGTGTTTCTGAACTGCCCATTCACATGGAAGAAAATCTGCTTTTAATTTGTCTTTTTCTCTCTTCCATTAGAGATGCACCAAAGCATCTGTGATCCAATCCGTTAAGCATATGTAGGAATAACCATTAATGATGCACCGCTCTGATCAAAGTATCAATACATCTCTAGTTGCCAGTTTATGTAATTTATTGTGCCACACTAGCAGGGAAAATCTAAAGCTTAGATTGTAATGCTAAATGTTCTTTATTGTGACACATCTCCCTCAAGTTGAATATAGGAATTATAGTGATGTGTACTGAAATTTGGGTTTTCAACAGGCAAAGAAAGCAGTATGTAGAACAATAATCTAATGTACCAGTAGATTGTTGTTCTCACCCTCTCCCCTCAGTAGAAATCCTAAACAAACTCTGAAAGAGGGCTGCTTGGAAATGAGAATGCTGTCACATGAGAGCTGAACACTTATTTTCTCAGCAAATGGGAAAATCGGTGGATTAGTTACCTGTTCCATTAAAGGGAAAGTCCTGTCATATTCAGAATTCAAACTTCTGAAAGTACTTTAAATAGGAAATTATTACGTACTGTTCAATAAGTGATACATGTTTTTAATTAAGAGTAATTTTAATTTGAATGTGCTTTACTGGAGGCATCCATGTTTGTCAAAGAACACTACTGCCACCTATCGGTTTGTCACGTCACGGTGCCGTATTGGCTGTTGAGCAAGTCCCAGTGCTCTATCTGGTGTTTGTCACTACTCACTATAATCCAAGTCATCTTGAAAACATTCTTCTTCTAAATGTTGGCTACATATTACGCATTTTTTTTTCTGGCCAGAAGTTTGATCCTTCCTCTTCGAGTTGCCAATCCAACAACTAGGGCCGCAGTAACGTGTCCATGGAGGATCATGAATCGGAAAGGTGAAATAACTACATTTTTTAAAATCTTTTACCCGATGTATTAAAACATCCAACTGCCATGCAGGTGGGCATTTTCAGTTTAAAGGAAAATTCCGGTTTTTAACACTTTTAGCCCATTTTCTGTAGTGTCCAGGATGAAATCGAATGATCGACACCAAAATTTTGACAATTGGTCCTGTCTCTGCTATTTGGCTCATGCAGAATCCACCCCTGGCTGCTTCAGAACGGCTTCCATAGTGCATGTCCGATAATGTCCTTAAAACAACCTTAAACGTTCTTTTTTTAAAATACGCTACTCACCGGGTCGTCAGCGCTGTTCAATGACGTTCCAAAAAAAGTTTCGTAAAGAAAAAACGTTCCTGTAGTGTTTTATTTAGCATTTTGTAAATCCCATTGAGTTCTGTAGGAATAGTCAATATTCCCCTGCCACCGGAAACGGAAATGGGGCCTGTTTACGCTTAGTTGTAGTCTTTTCGCAAGGCCCAAGTGTTTTTGCTTCACTCTGTGTACTCCGACGTCGAGGTGCTAACGTCTCTGTTAAACACTTTAAAAAACTCTGAAAATGGAATACGAAAGGTGGATTCTTGAGGAGGACATATTGGACTTTGAGTTTGACAGTAGAGGATACCGTCGCCAACTAGTGGTCTGGAGTGTGCAACGCTTCAGATTCGAACGGGAAGCGGAAGTTTATAAGCGGTTGTGATGTATCGGAAAAAATAGTTCTGGGATTTACAAAATGCTAAATAAAACAAGACAGGAACGGTTTTTCTTCACAAAACTTTTTTTGGAACGTCATTGAACAGCGCTGACGACCCGGTGAGTAGCATATTTTAAAAAAAGAACGTTTAAGGTTGTTTTAAGGACATTATCGGACATGCACTATGGAAGCCATTCTGAAGCAGCCAGGGGGGGATTCTGCATGAGCCAAATAGCAGAGACAGGAGCAATCGTCAAAATTTTGGTGTCGATCATTCGATTTCATCCTGGACACTACAGAAAATGGGCTAAAAGTGTTAAAAAACTGAATTTTCCTTTAACTATAGCTCTCAATAGTGAAGTCCTCACGATATCTTAAACAATTGTTGTTGATTGCAGATGTGTCTAGTGGCTCCCATAGATTTTGCTTGTAAAACAGGGAGAATGGCGCTAGGATAACTGCACCATGACGTCACTGCCGGTAGATGTCAGGAGTGAGTTGATTTTGACGAAAATCATTTTATTTTTTTTACTGATTAACGCTAAATTCATTAAATCAATGTGAACATATTAGTTTTAATTATAATGATCCATTGATCATTCCTGGCTGACCAGACTTTTCCTTTAAACAGCATAACAATTTTTTCTCCATTGCATGCATTGAAACGCTAATGAAGCTAAAGCAGAGGTTTAAACTTAGGTTTAGGTCAGCTGTTAAGCAAAAAATTATTATTTCATTACATGTACCCTGTATGACACATACAACTTCATTTGTTTTGGGTTTCTGAAATGAAAGCTTCAGCCGTTTGATAATTTGGATCATTTGTTTTTTTCTACTTAATTTGAGAAGTATCATCTGTGTGTGTTTGTTGCATGTTGACGTCCGTAACGCTGAAGGCTGTCTGGATTCAGTGCAGACGTCTGAAGTTGGGCTGTTTTTTGGGTTGCATTTGACTGCTCTGTATATGTAGACTAAAACATGAAGGGCAGAGGACCCTAAGGAAAAGGGAGCCTGCTCTAAAGTTTTAGGACCCTGTCACACCGTGCCGATTTAGACAGCGTATGCCTGACGTCCCAGTATCTCTTAAACATACAAATCTCCTAAGCATATGCTGAACTTTCTATGTATTTTTTCAATTTTGGACGTATACATAGCGTATTCATAAAGAGTCCAGAAATGATGTCCAATGACAGCCTTACTTATCCATAATACACTGCAGCGTAATGCCCATGAAATGATGCACAAGCCAGTGCCCTAAGGGGGGCAGGGATGCGCCCGGAGGTGCCCAGCCTGCATAAAAAGATGTCTGTGGTATTAACCTAGCTGATGTTGACCGCCCACCAAAGAAAAAAAAGAAAAAAAGAAGGTTTGGAATCGCAGTAGATTCAGCGTCATGTCTGCTAGGACTTTTGTTGGTTGTGAGCGTGAATGCAGGGAGGATCCATCACACTCACCTTCACTCTCACCCTATGTTGGGCATGAAGTCTGAAGTACTGGCGGTTTCCTCCTGTGAACCCCCTTTTATATCAAAACGCTGCCAATACACCATTAAACAGTAGCTGTGAGTTAGAAACACGTTCAGCCGTCGTCTGGAACACGTCAAATACGTTCATATGCGTTGGAGATAAGTTACGCATAAGTTATACACAAGTTACTCATAGGTTTTGGATAAGCTGGACACCACGACTTATGAGTAACTTACACTTAATGTATGTCAACGATCAGATAACTTACCTGTAACTTATGGCCCACGTATGGCTTATACGACGTATGCCAGTGTTTTTGCCAGACTTTTCATACGTCAGGCAGACGCTGGTCTAAATCGTCAAGGTGTGACAGGGCCTTTACATTTGCTCAAAGAACAACCCACTGGGATGTATTTATATATGATTGAAAACCTTTGCTTGTAAAAACTCTCTATTCAGGACTACTGAGTGGCATAATTTGAGCATTATCTCATTAAGAATCTTTTTACTCACAAGTAATCAAAATATATTCAACAAATTAACTGATTAGCAAGATAATCGTTAGTTGCTGCATTAATAGAACCAATCGAAATTCTGAAAACAAAGCTTAGGGTTTATAAAATTTGTAGCTTATTTGTCGATGTTTTGCACCTTAAAATAACAGAACAATGAAACAAAAACTGGATTATTTGACAAGGATTCCCAAATTACCAAAACAGTCTGTGAGTTGTAAAAAGATTCATATCAAAACATTTCTAAAATGTTATGACATTTGTTGCATCTCTTGTCTGGCTGTCTGGGTACCTGGTCATCTCTATAATGTCTTCAAGTAGGAGCTCCTCCACTGGGAATGTCAACCCCGGGATGTGGATCATTGGGCATTTGTCTAAAAGAAAAGATTGAAAAGAGATGAGATCAACAGTTTCTCTTATACAAAATTGTGCTAACTGAAGGTGTCATACCAAAATATTTGGAAAACTTCTCTGCGTTGAGAGTGGCACTCATCAGGATGACTTTAAGATCATCTCGGACGTTGAGTAATTCCTTGACAATGATGAGCAAAACATCTGATTGAAGGTTCCTTTCATGGATTTCATCCAACACCAGATGACTGACACTGGATAACATCCTATAAATATACAGAAGAATTGACCCTGGGGTTGATTTTGGCTCAGGGGGGCAAATCTGGAAAGGGCAGTGCGAATACTCCATATTGGGACATGCATGGGATTTAATAAAAGGAAACAGTTATTTTTTTTTTTAAATACCCTGTAGTGTTTTGACAAAAATGTTAGAAATCCAACTTAAAAAGTAGCATAATTTTTTTTTACATAGACTTAGTGAGAGAAATTCTTAATAAAACGCTTTAGTCAAAAAAACAAAAGCCTTATATCATTTAATAATGTTGCAACAGTTCTTAAAAGAAGCAAAGACTTCAAGGAAAATTTAACGATTTTAGAAAAACCCTTTTGTTATTCTAAGACACTCACAATGTAAGAAGAACATGGAGGAATTAGTCAACAGAAAACCTCAGTGTGAGAATATGTGTCTTTATTTTTTTTGTCTATGAGTATGGAGAAAAATGCTAATGATTTTCACAGGGACATATGAACGCAATGTATGGATCACAAAGGTCCTAAATTGAAGACCAGAAAAGGTTTATAACGAGCAGAGAGAGGAAAAAATACTGATAAGAAGGTATAAGATGGGATCAGACTCACGGATCTGAGCGTAGCCACTGAAGAATAATTCCTGTCGTACAATATAGTATCGAACCTTGTCTCCGTGGTAACCGGCTGTGAAATGTGAAAGAAAGAAAGATGAAGAGGAGGAAAAAAAAGGCTTTACATTTTCCAGATGACACAAATTAAGTCTAGTATAAAGAGAGGACAAAAGTCTCCAGGCTGTAATCTCTGTAATTTTCTTCCTAAGCATCCATTTAGTGGAACTGTGTTACCACACTTTAATTTTACTCTATCGCCACCTTTTTCTCAACTAAACAATACAGCCTTTCTAATATTTTCTCTTTAGGTTAAATGTGCAGCATTGCACATGCAGCAGAATTTAATTTTGGCAATAATGTTGCCAAACCAGAAGAGGGGAATGGATTAAAATAATTAATCAATAAAAATAAAAAACAATTTCACATAAAAAAATTTTAAAAAACTTCATTCTAAAGAGTTTCCTCTACCTCAACTCTTCATCAGTTTCAGTAACATTTATTCCCAACAACTATACATAGGCAGTATTGCAGCAAATTTTCAATGATGACTAAGAAATAATTCATGTTTATTACTTTGATCATCATTTTCTTTGCAGACATTCAACAGAAATTTCATATCATATATTATAATTAGCCATAGGGCAGTATCTGGTATAAGACATACTAAAGTTTAAAGAAATTAAAATCCAAAACCCATTTAATTTAGTGAATAAGCTTAACGAGCACACTGTCTAAATATAGCTCTTCAAAGTGGTACTCTTTAATAGGAATGAGTGGATGGGAAATGGTAGTTATAGCCATGTACCTTTAAAAAGCTAATGGGTAAATGTTCTTGTTTTTGGACTTCAAGGTTAAGGAAACTAAACCTTTTTCTAAGATATTAAATTGATATCAGGGCAAGAAACACTGAGAAAATAGGAGATGGTTTAAATAGGTCCTAAAAGCTTATTAATAAAACTCTGAATGTTACATGCTGTAGCTGCCACAGGGTAAGCCGATCAGCAATGGGTAATTGTGAACTCGAATTAGGGTTTCATACTCCACCGATGTATTTTACATCGTTGAAAAGTTTATCCTTTGAATTGTACAAGGAGCTGTCTCTACCAACTGCACATCAACCAGTGCTGAACTTCACTGAAGGCTTTTTGCTATAATTAATGCAAGTGTGACATTAAAAAAGAAAAAAGATCTGACAGGTTTTTGGAATAATAAAACCAAGGTAATAACCCAGGGTGCATTAAGCAGTTTCATATTTACAGGATCAGAACAGATTAAAAAAACCAAAACAGCGAGACAAAAAAGGAAAATTTGATATCGATACAGATTATATTGACATACAAAACTAAGGAGAGCTGAGACTTTTTGTCATTCAGACAAACAACAGGCTCCTTAGCAGTTAGAAGGTCCTAATAAGCAGCCAAAAATGCTTCAGGGAAAATAAGAGCTGCTAGGCTTCTAACAACCACGACACTTCATGCTCTGTGCAGTGTCACCAACTCATCTCCTCTGCAGCGTACTATCCTGGTCTGTTGTGAGGTCACCTCATTGTTCACTCTGCAAGCAATAAGCTCACTCATCCCTCAAACAGATGTTTACTTTGCTGGTTTGTAACACAACCATGTAGAGACAGAGAGTCCAGTCGCTTTGCCTTATATAGTGAGGAATACTTTGCCTCTGGAAATGTATGTTTCTCCATGTTACTTAGGGATAGATGTGCATTTTTATGAGTAATGACAACTGCAACACCATTTATCTACTAGAACAGAAAGTATTTTCAACTATAACGAGTCATTCCATGACTTATCACTTATCATACATGGCGTTCTGCAGCATTTACATATGTTTTATTGCAGAGATCATTCTTAAAGTGGCGGTCTAGTGGTTAGGGCATAGGGCTTTGAATCCTGAGGTTGTGAGTTCGATCCCCCACTCCCACAGACTGCCACTCTGGGTCCCTGAGCAAGACCCTTAACCCCACACTGCTCCCCGGGCGCCTCACAATGGCAGCTCACTGCTCCCCAAGGGGATGAGTTAAATGCAGAGAAGTAATTTCCCTCTGGGATTATTACAGTATATAAAAAATAAAGGAAAGGAAAAAGACCCATTAGATGGTTAATAAAACTGGTGTGCCTCCATCTTTAGCAACTTTATGCTGTGTAGAACTACCATAGATTTAGGTTTGGATTCTAACTGGGTCATTCTTACAAATAATTTTCTCAGATATACGACTCAGTGTAGCTCTGTATGTTTTTTTACTAGGAGTTCATAACATGATGACAATTTCAAGTCATAATATAATTGTATGTGATATGCATAACTCAAAGTTGCCTGAAGACAAGAGATTTAAAATAATTATTATCAAGTACAGAACAGACTTTCTATTCCTGTAATATATTTGCTGGTGCTTTTATTTTTAGATGCAGCATCAAAGGTTTTGAATTTGTTAAAGGTGGTAAGAGGGAAAAAGCAACAAATAATTAAAACCAAGTTGCTCCATTGTTGAAACAGCAGAAGCAGGCCAGAAGGAATATAAATAAAATAATGTTGAGATTTCAGCAGCTGGAAAGACTGCTCATTATCTGGGGTATATGTTTGACATGAAAAGGAAAATAATTCGATTTTTTGGAGTGAATTGGAATAATGTCATCCTGGATATCTGAAACATTTTCTGGACATATTACTAAAATCTTACAAAATGGGCAGAAAAGACTGAGCACTGCTCCATTTGATGTCCAGAGCTTTGAATGTTGTTTCATATTCTTATCCATACTCCCAAACATCCTCCCTCACCTGTCAAGTGTTTCTCTCTGCGGTTTAAAAACAATGTCCTCTAAAACACCTCAGATGCTTTTGCAGAACAGCTGCGTTTATATTGAGATTAAATTGCACACAGGTGGACTCTATTTGGACTCTATTGTCAGTGTTTGGGGAGCTGAAACCAAAAGTATGGCAAACTGCTTTCTGATTTTCATTTTTCTAATTTCCATTCAATTCACAATTATATGCGCTTGTGTTGGTCTAAATCATAAAAAAACAAACCAAAAAAATGAAAATAAACTTCTGGTTGTAATTTAAAAAAAGACTTAGTATAAGGAGTAAAAATATTTTTGCAGGTTTTTTCTGTAGGTTTCAATAGCATACTAAACATTTCTAGATCTTACTACAGAGTCTCCAAAAGCAAAACACTAATGATGAAGAAACAACCAGGGTAGCTTTCAACCCTAAAAACTTTGAGTACAAGTTGATTTTTGTCCAGATGAGCTCGACAACATTAAAGCTACAATGTGAAGAAAAACTGGGACAGTAGCATAAACATTTTTGTTTGAAATAAAAAAACATCTAAATATATGGTACTGTGAATTCTGTTTACCTATTAAACCATTGGTCTATTTTCAGTTGATTTTTTTAGAAAATTTAAGATAAACACATTGGTAACAGCAGTACAGTCTACTTTTGCAAATATTTTAAGCTGCACAAAAGTAAACAAAACAAGTTTGGTTTAGGTACACTGAAGAAATTGGAAGGGCTCTTAAGTTTTTCAATCAGCTTTTCTTTTGTAAGGAAAGCTGGTCCATCATTAGCGGTTGAACAAAGAAGTAATATACTGTTCACTGCTGTGGTCTGAGAGAGATCGTTTGTCGGCAACCAGTGCGGCTGCACTAATAAAAGTCTTTTTAAATCCCTTATGAATTTTACAGGAACAAGGTAATGATTTGCAACTTCATATTTAAGGGCAACTAAAAACACACATAAATATTTAATTTACAAATGTCAAGTGTTTGTATCCTGATAGCTACTCATTTCAGCCAAGCATCATTCTCTTAGGATTTATCAATTTATTTTTGCTCCTATTAGCATTCATCTGCAATTGTCTTTTGAGTATCCTTGGCAGAAATAACCTCTTAGATGAAAGATTTGAGGTTTTTGTTTGATGTTAAGCCAGAGCTTTACAGCAGTTGTCTCCAGTTTTTAAATAGATTTCTTTTTTGTTCTCCAGCCTTTTTTTGTTTTGTTTTCCAGCTCCATAAATGCAGCCGTTGAATTCAGATCAGGCTTAAATTATTCATATAAATACCATGAAAGATTCTACATTATTTCTGTAGCATATTTCAGGTTACTGTCTGTCTTCACTGAGTTCAGGGGTCTAGTTCCCTTTAATGCATTTGTCTATAATTTAAATACATATAAAATTACTAAAGGATCCGTTTCATTATTAACCATAAACAAAGCTGTGCTAAAAAACATAGGAAATATATGTAGAAATAATTCAATATCTGGTTCAGTGCACAAACATGTTAACATAGATATTAGAACATTTAACTCTCCTGTACTTAAGATCATCATAATCATCAAAGATAAATCATAAATCATCATCAATCAACATGTAAAAAAAGCAGAACCTACTATCTGATTAGCTAAGCTGCACAACAGCTTAATCTCAGACAAATCAGTGATTTTAAAGTTAATCAGATTAATTGTGATTAATTGATTATTGGAATAATTGTCAACTAATTTAGTAATCGATTAATTGTTACCTGGAGTACAGAGACTCTAAAACATGCCTTTAACTGACAGAGCGACTCACTTAGGGCAGCAATTAAACCAAACTTTTAAAACTTTTTCATTCAAATAAAAAAAAAAAAAAACGAACATTTTCATCTGTAAATATGCTCAATCTAGAACTACTCAACTGGAAAAGTTTTAATTTTATCTGCTTTAATTTGCCAAAAAAATCTTCTTTAAGGAACCTTTTGCTGTCTGATTATTAATCGAAGAAATTATCAACAGATTAATTGATTTGCAAAAATATTTGCTAGTCGCAGCCCTAGTTAAAAGATCAGGCTGACAGGCAAAAGAAATTCAAAATATGCCCAAAACCAGAAAGAACTGAATAGATACTGAAATACTTATATTTGCTTTTAGCAAAGAATGAAATTAAAGTTAAATATTAATTTCAACCTTTATTTATGCATGTCACTGACATTCCATTTGAAATCTTATCTTACACATTAAATATATGAATATCTCTTCAACAATTGATCTTTTTGGGGGCCTCTAAGACTTTAGGTTGTCTTCATTAGCAAACAAAGCCAGATCACAATAATCATCTGTTTAGGAAACCATAGTTGGCTTCATTCTGATACATGAAACGGACATAAAATTTAAATCAGGAATGGGCTAAGAGACAAATTATCAGAAGACATAAATCAATGTTTTTCAGAAAGCTAAACACACAGAAAGCCTTTTAAGTCAAATCCATTATCTCCATTTCATGCATTAGCAAGTGTTAAGGGAAAAAATACTTACCTCTGCAGGCGGATTTGGTAACCGCAAGATTTCCCATTTCCTACCCTTTCTGCTCTTTCAGCTGCTACACGCTCCGCTATCTGAGAGGAAAAGCGCACACAAACACAATTCCATTGACAATAAGGGAACTGTCATTAAAAATAAGCTGTTTTTCAACATTAGTGGTATATCTAACATAATGGTATGAATATTAACAACATTCTTAATTAGTAGCCAAACAAGAACATTTGAACTAATACCAGCAGAACTATAGAAAACCTACAGAGATGGCACTGATGCGGCGAGGCTGTGTGCAGACCACACGGCACGTTGAGCCTCGGCCTCTATTGATGTGATCATCCAGGATGAACTGAGTGACCTGAGTGGTCTTTCCACAGCCCGTCTCCCCACTGACCACTACCACGGGGTTAGAGTTGATCAGTCTGACCAGATCCTGTGAACAAAATCAGAGATAAAGGGGAAAAATGTATATATGGTTGGAAAGATGAATGCAGGTTGTAAAAATATATTTTTGGACAAAATTCGAACAAAAATTTTGAAAATCATGGGTAGTGAGAATGAAGGAGCTCCAAAGGTAGTTGAATCAATGCTTACCTCCCTTTTAGAATATGATGGTAGTTTTTCCCTGAATTTCTGGAGGTAAAAAAGTAAAAAAAAAAACATGAAATCGATTGAGCTTTTGATTTCTGTTAAGTTTTACAACTTCAAAATAATCATATTACATTTCCACATTTATCATTTAAAACTGTTTACTTTGTGTTCTTATTTCCAGTTCTTATGTATACTGCCCTAATGATAAAGCTTCATTTATCAGAATTTAACAATACTATATAGCATTTTATAAAGCTTTAACATGAAAGGCTTATTTTGGACATGTTAACTTTGCACTTCAAAAAATTTAACTTGTAGGACTGAAGTAATAAATATTCCGATGACCAAATGATCAAGAGTACTAAGCTAGTGAAGCTCTGTATCGAATGTCTTCACCATCATATAATGTTATAAGGAGAAAAAAAATGACTTTCTTCTGTTTCTTCTCCTGTAGTATTTTTTTCTGGTGACAAAAACGTGTAAACTTATAAATGTAAATATGTTTTCTCACCAGCATTTCTTTGTAACTCGGGTCTGTTTTTTTGCTTTGCAGATCTCTTTTCAACTCCTCATCCATTAAAGGGTCTCTGACTACTTCCTGAAGCAAGAACTCCACATCCTTGTCATTCCTTATCGGCCTTTCTTTTTCCACCTTCTCCTCCTCCTCATCACCTTCATCCCAGTTGTCTGGTGGCTCATCTTTATCTGCCTTGGCAGACGATGCACTGAACACATTAAAATAACAAAGTTCAGAATATAGTGATTACCTTACAAAAGTGGATATATTTAACACAAAATTAAGCACAGTATCTTCTATGTTGTCTATTTTTGCTGTTTGGATTTATTTTCTCTCTTTTCAAGCACTCTTTCCTATCTCTATCTCTCTCCCCATAGTTCTTACACTCTCTTTCTTTCTCACCTCCCTTTCCATGTCTGTTGTATAGGATTTTACTTCCCAAATAAGTTTTAGCAAAGTTTAATATATAAATATCTAGGAGAACCTTATGACAACATCATACTGGTTAGCTAGGGAAAACAAAGCTATTGGGCAACAGCTAGCTGTGGAACATCAATTCCCAGAGCTATATTGGCAAAACAGCACAAAAAGTTAAATATTACCACAGTTTCTTTAAAACATGATTTGTTTATCCACATATAGCTGGTATTCTCAGAACATAAGGCAAAATCTATCTACTTAAACTTTGGGAAAAAAGGTAAATTTGCTGATAGTGAGCAGCAATGTCAACCTTGGAGACATGGATAAAGATTGAAAAGTACGGAGCCACAAAATACTGATTCCTTCCCACAAAATATTGATTTGTTCCCACAAAAATGCTAATTCGTGGCCAAGAAATGTATAAAACATGTAAAAAAATTCTGATCTGTTTCTACATTTCATGAGGCTATTTTATCATTTTTTTTCAGTATTTGCACAAGTCTTAGTACAAATGAAGTGATAACTGTAGTCCTTTTCCAGAGCCTTGCTGGTGGTCAGCACTGATCTAGATTCCAGCCTCCAAGTGGAACGTACAAATGCAGGGCAACATGGATGCTTATAAATATTGAGTGTTGCATTTGCATCACACTCCTCTCGGTATGCGACTGGAAAAAAACCTTGGTAAAATTCACAATAATACATATATATTTCTTTGCCCTCACCCAGTTATAAAATGTTCTGCATTGTTTGTTGTGGCTGCATTTTTTTTCCTTTTAAAAATGGCTTCATTTATTAAATTCCTTGATCTTTGACCTTTACCTGTTCTGCATTATTTGAACAGCATCATGTGCAAGAGGATCATTTCATGGGGTGCATCTGTGTATTTCAATTGAATAACTGCAACTCTGCTTTTTTTTTTTTTTTTTTTACATGTACTGTGGGAAGGCACTTTTTGAATATGTTTTATGACTTTTTTAGTATACAGCTTTACTTCCTACTCAGCTCTCAATATAATATTTAAATACCTCTTTTTAATTAGATTTCATTGAAAAGCCAGGCTTTTCAGATTCTTTTTGCAGCCTAGTTCCTACTTGAAACAAATCTAGATCAGTCTATCCCTGCCCATCATGTTGTCTTGTTCCTCTGTTCCTTTAACTGTGTCAGATGGTCCACTTTGTAGGAAGGTTATCTCTTAGTACTTTGTTCACACATTGCAAATTAGTATTTCATGCACATGGTAAATATATTTCTTGGCTACAAATTAGTTTTGTTTTGTTTTTCTTTGCATACATCTGGTCAATAAATTCAACTACATCTTACTATTAGTATAACTGTTGCATGCTATGCTTTAGATAAACACTGGAGTATTGCTGTTCATGAACATTGAGCAAACAGGCTAATGCAACTCAAAATCTTGACGTTTTTTTTCCTGAGTTCATAGATTGAACCTTAGAACACAGTTACCCTTTTGATGTGCTATTTGGTTTCTTCTGTTTAGAAGTAATTTCTTCTTCTTCTTCCTCAGACTTGTGTTTCACTTCTTCAGGCAAATCCCCATCAAAATAGCTGGTTTCACAACCATGGGGATAAGACACAACATCAGCTTCAAACACTCTGACAACTTTTTACTTCGTACATCCTTTCATATTGCAGGTTTGAAAGAACACTGTTTTAAGTTGAAAACGGTTCTCACCAGTGACCGCTACTGCTGGCAGCTGTCTGCCAGTTGTCAGACATGGAGGAATATCCGTCTCTGCTGGATCTACCAGGGTCCGGCTGGTCGCTCTGGACAGAGTTAAGCAGCTTGGTGATGTGCTCTTGTCTGGCTTCATCCATATGGACCACTGCCCTCTGCATACATGATTTTAAAAGAGAAAAAAATATTTATTATCTCGCTAGAGCAGTGTTCACTAAAATATTCTGCTTTACTTGTGGAATTGTCTAATTGTCAGTGTGTATCACTGCACTAATCAGCTATAATAGTAGAACTAAGAGCAAGAAAACTACATACCATAGCTGTGTTTCACCAACCTACTTTTAAGAAGCTGCTTGGATGTTACTTTGAAGACTGTTGCCCACAAAAACAGGTTTTCTAATGGAATCTGAAGAGAGCAAATCTAATCCAGTTTGAAAGCCAACCCATGAGCAAGGTTTTGCCCACATCTTTAAGCTGACAAAATTTTTTGCTCTGAACCTCTTTTAGGTTAATTTCCCTAACTGTTAAAGTTCAGTTATGATAGCAAAGTTTCAGTTAAAACACTGCTGGAGGAGACGTTTGGATCAGCAAAATAAAAATAAAAGTGATGCATAAAAGCCTTATGTTTATTTCTTAGCTCTTTGTAGCAAAGAAACAAACACACGACTAAAAGCAGTGCCTTTGCATCATTTAAAAAGGGCGCCTGCTAAAGCTTTTCATTTTTTTCTTTGGTAAATGGTTTTCACTTTCTTTTATTTCAATCAAGTAATGTTTAGTCCAAGTAACTAACCATGTGTAAAAACAGCTTTCTAATGCTCAATTAACTCCTAATAACTGTTAACTGACTTGCATTTAGTACCAATGTTTTTTGACTATCTGATATTGCTTGTGTTCTTTCGGCTGCTCTTATATTTAGGGGTCAGCAAAGCAAGTCATTACTATCTGCTCACTCCTTAACCAACTGGGATTCTTTATAGATGTTGGAGATCAGCCATCTTCTGAAATGGGAATTGGCTCAGAGCTTGCCAGCCTGGCTGTGTGTTTCCTGGATGGGGCTGCCTTTTACAGTTGCTTTTTGTATATCTGCTTCTGTCTCCTTGAACTCCAGTCGGCCTCAGCAGATGGCCGCTCACACTGAGCCTGGTTCTGCTGGAAGTTTCTTCCTGTTAAAAGGGAGTTCTTCCTCTCCACTGTCGCAACAAGCATGCTTATGTGAGGGATTGCATCCGAGTGAATTAGTCGATGCAATCAACTGGTTTTCCTTAGATAGAAAACTTTGAATCAATTTGACTGTATGATCTGGTCAACTGTAAAGTGACTTGAGATGACATGTGTGATGAATTGGCACTATATAAATAAACTGAATTGAAATTGAATTAACCCAGGTGCCCTGCATTAGAGGCAAAAAAAAGAAACAAGACAATCTAAAGAGGCAAATAGTTTCTTTTGTCAGCATATTCCAGTACTTCAGTTAAAAAGCTTCTCTAATTTTGCATACTAATAAAAACAAACCTTGGAAGACATCTAACTTATTGGTTCATTTTTTGATTTTTGTCACAGGTAGCCAGTCAAAAATACACAACAGAGGCAAAAATACTGAATGTACACTAATAATGTAACCTGTATGAATAACACCCTCTCTTCATTGTGGTAGCTTTAGTGTGCACAATGGGAGAGTTGTGGGAAAAATAGGAAAACCCAATGCTTTGGGTGTATTTTTAAAGGTCCAAACTGTGAGGGGTACAATACTGGGTCAAGACATTCTTTAAAATTGCTCTTTTATGGTAAAACGTGCAGCCAAGATGAATTTTTGTGGGTGACAAAGGATGACAAGTTCTCTGATGGCTGAAGAGGTTAATGATCTGATAGAAACTGTGCTTTATAGTTTGACCAGTGGAATGGTCCAATAATTTCATAGGATTCTAATCATTTGGGTTTTCCCTTAATTTAATTTCACTTTGTGTAAACATTAAGCTCAACATGAACTTAAAAAGGCAAATCCAAACAACAACGAATCACCTTTAGCATGAAAAAAAAAAATCAACCTAATGACACAAAGATAAGATAGATAATTTGATTAACATGTTCTCAGAACTGGATGCTCAGTGACAGACAGTAGGGAAAATGTAAAAAAATGTGGACAACTAGCAGCACATACCGATCTGCGGTCAGCTTGTTTCCTCCTAACGGCTCCATACCGAGCGTACCAAAGACCGATCTCCCGGCCCCTCAGGTGTGGAGGCGGTCGGTCATTCTGACCCTCTGAGTCCTGGGCAAAGTTGGAACCGTTTCCTCTCGCACCTCTGCCGCAACCTCCTCCTCTTCTCTCCAGCCTCTCTCTGCTCCCATCCCTGTACCCTCTACCTCCTCTCCTGCTTCTTCTTCCTCCCCCTCCACCTTCGTACCGATAACTCATAACGCCGTTAGGAAGAAAACGCTCTCAATATAAAACCTTTTACTGCTATGAAACATATATCATTTACTTGGCTTGGATTCAGAAGCACACACCGGCTGAATCAGTAAATTTCAAACAGAAACTCAAGTTTCGACACCAGACCGTTATAGCAACCAGCTAAATGCCCTCTGGTATTTGACTATTTGCAAAAAGAATGTGAACGGCTCAAAATAAATCGACTTCCGACCGTAAATAAACAAAACGCAAAGGAAAACAACTGCAGTCGGTTGATTTTTTTTTCCGTCCGGTGTGTCGCGTATGAGTGACGTAAAGATTAGCAGGCGCCATTTGTTGACGTAGTCTCGCGCTGTCTTGCATTTCATTACACAGAAACCCACTAAAAGTGACTCGTTTTTAAACGTTAGTGACATTGTAATTTTTCTACGCATTACAATGCTTATTTCAATGGGTATTTTGGTAATTAGACGTAATGTGTAGTAAGGGAAAATAATTATTATTTCATTTTTTGTCTTGATAGATAGTTGGAAATTACTATGTTGGTTTATTAAAACACAAAAACATAAATAAATAAATAAATAAATAAATAAACACCAAAAACATTAAATAACTTGAAAACAGAACATTGTCTCGCAAAGTACTTAAGAGCTTCTGCAGCTGCAGTTCTTTCTTTTACTAATGGTTCAGCTCTGTTCCCAGGCAGGCAGGATTTGGATGACACTTGCACCCTCAACAATTCTATCTATCCTTGCAGGTTATATATGCATTGGTCTTTAATGTTGAAATTCATTAATGTTAAGGATAAAGAAATGTACTTCAACACATATCATCTCAAGGTATTTTACAAAAACAAATCAGCCAATAATACAGGCAAGAAAAAAATGTCTAAGTTAAGCCAGATAATTCCATGCAGTCGCTGATTAAAATATTTTTTCTGTTAGTGAAGGTAATTGTAAACTAGCTCCATAACTGTCTTTGTGTAGGAAAAATGATAAGCGGATACACTCTGAGTTTCCTGGTCAAAACTGTCAGCA